ATATATACGCTGTCTATAAGAGACCCACCTCAGAACAAGGGACTCACACAGACTGAAAGTGAAGGGATAGAAAAAAAATTCCATGCGTGCTCTGGTCAGTGTGACCCAGTGGTTAGAGTCTCAGCCCATGCAGCAATAGGCCACAAATTTGATTCCCAGTCAAGGGCATGTACATGGGTTGCAGGTTCAATCCCAGTCGGGAAGTGTGCAGGAGGCAACCAATCAATGTATCTCTCTCACATTGATGTCTCTCTCTCTCTCTCTCTCTTTCTTTCCCCCCTTGCACTCTCTCTAAAAGTCAATGGAAAAAAATATCCTCAGCTGAGGATTAACAATAACAAAAATATTCCATGCAAATGGAAACTAAAAAGTGAGGTAGCAATACTCAGATCTGACAAAATAGACTTCAAAACAAAGGCCATAAACAAGACAAAGAAGGCCACTATGTAATACTAAAGGGATAAGTCCAACAAGAGGATATAACCCTGGTAAATATATAGGCACGCATGTGCGCGTGCACGCGCGCACACACACACACATTATTTTTTTAAACCAACTCTTGGTGGACTTTAGGGGAGAGCAACAGCATTACAGTCATAGAAGGAGACTTTAACACCCCACTGACATCACTGGATAGATCTTCCAGATAAAAAATCAACAAGGAAACAGAGGCCTTAAATTAGACACTAGATCAAATGGATTTAATTGAAATTTACAGAACATTTCACCCCAAAGCAACAGAATATACATTCTCATCTAATTTACAATGAACATTCTCAAAGATAGGCCACATATTTGACACAAAATAAATCTTAACAAATTCAAGAAGGTTGAAATCTTGTTAAACATCTTCTTGGATCACAGTGGCATGAAACTAGAAATCAACTACAATTTTTAAAAATCTCAAAATTTTTTAAAAAATGGAGGCTAAATAGTGTTATTAAACAATGAGTGGGTTACCAATGAGATCAAGAAAGAAATAAAAAATTACCTGGAAACAAGTGAAAATGAACACACAACAACCCAAATCTATGGACACAATGAAAACAGTCCTGAAAGGGAAGTTCACAGCATTGCAGGCCTAGCTCAAGTAGCAATAAAAATCTAAAATAAATAACTGAGCCCTACACCTAAACTAACTAGAAAAAGAAC